ATGAAAGAGTCCAGGTAAGAACGAACACCACCAACATTACAGTTTTGCATACCAAGTTGTCAACCAAACTCAAATGCATCTGCACGGATTAAAAGCAAGAGAGAAGCTCAAACTAAACTAGCAAAATAAGCCACACACAAAACGATTTTGTGCTGGGAAACATATGCAGCCATCTTTTCACAGACGCAAATATTTGGGACGTACACGCGATGCCTGCGAACAGATATGCACGCGTAAAATTACAAACCCTACGTACATGCGTGAAAATAATCATTGGAGCATGGCAGCTTAGTGGAGATGAAAGGTCAAAAGGTCAAGTTTGCATCATTCATAGGTCATTTCAAGTCGTTGTGACATGCTCCAGTGAAGGCAAATGCACTGCAATTAATTTTCATTGTTGCTGTTGTTGATGCCGTTCGTGCATGTGTGTGTGCGTGTGCATATGTGTGTTGTGATGTGTGTGTCTGTAGTGTGTAGGTGTGTATGTTGACCATCTAAAATAAAAAGACCTCCTTCCAGACGAAGTACACCACTACAAAATTTCATTCAAACTTCTGGAGGTCAACATAGTGAGATGCTTGATGGGCGAATAAAGTGTAGTTCACCTAACATGCGTTTGCAGTTTATCCAATTGTTTGCATCAAATACATCGCATAATATAATATTATTTGTACATCATCTATCTATCTTACTCATTTCATCGTTTCAATTGCGAAACAATGCAGAGTGAATACAAAGTTGTGTTGCGTAAAAAGATAGCAGTTTATCTACCGTACGAATGCACGCTTTAAGTCTTGCGTAACTTTGTAAGTAAACTCATCCCGTATCAAATCCATTTGTGTCTCAAATATAATTTTTTTCAAAAATTCAATAAAATAAAAATAAAATAAATTAAAATAATTGTTAATTTTGAAAACTTTTCTCATTAAAATAATTATATTAATTATTTTTAAAATTAATTTCTGATTTTAAAAAAAGTGTACCAAAGACAAGTTATTTATGTACATATTTTATAAAATTAAATAATAAATAGATGCGTATCAATTAAAACTAAGGAAACACTCTTGATAATTACAGCAACTGCATCACACAGGCACACACACACACAAACGCACATATAAGCACACATACACAACACAAACATACACACACACGCACGCACACAGACACATATACACACGTACATATAAGCACACACGCACAAAGACACATACCCACGCCTAGACTAACGAAATAATGAATTATATTTAAAGAGCAGAGAGCAAATTGCACTGCCAGGCAGGTTTCATTGTCTTATGTTGGTTTAAAAGCAGATTCGAAAAGTAAATTCAAACGCTACTCAGACTATCTCAATGAAGATTTCTGCTTTATGACTTCCTCCACACTTCCTCCACCGTCAGGTGATTGTTCGAGGAACATTAAAAGCCTGAGCCATTGCTACTCGACAGAAATATGAAATAAGTGAATAAATGAATGAATGAATGAATGAATGAATGAACGAACGAACGACCAACCGAACGAACGAACAAACGAATGAATGAATTAATGAATGAATTTCTCAATTAGTATACCAACAACTTCAATACGTCGCGTATCTCGATGAGTCACCTTTCGTATGTTCTTAATTTTGTTTTTATTTCTCTCAGACAAATTCGCAGTAGTTGTCGTTGCAGCAGCTGCTGTCGTAGTTGATGTTGGCGTTTTGAGCTGTTCTTATAGTAAATAATAATTTCATCATTACTACAACTTTACTCTCATTGTTATATTTAACGAATTAAATAGCCTACAACCACTCAATTGAATGCAACATTTCCTCAGCCTGTCTGACATTCCAACCTTCATCTGAACCAAACCAGATCAAAGCGAAACCCAGAGCTAACCTTTCGTACTTTTAATTTTTATCTGCAGAGTTTAACATCTCTTCACACATTCAATAAACTTTTTTTCTTCATAAGTGAACCAAAACTTCAAATAGCAAACATTCTTGTGACAATTTGCGGCCTTTCTTAACATTCAAAATTAGAGTTATTTTTGACGAGCATTAGCATATCAGTATTCTAAGATTTAATTTTGCATCAAATTTGCCCAGAATTTTACGCACTGCTTTCGAGAAACACTCCTCCTCAAGATATATTTTCGGAAAAATTGTTTGCACTTCGCCATGGCTACCTTGAAATTATGTTCATCTTCATTTATGTTCATCTTCAATCATGTTCATCCTCAAGTATGTTCATCTTCAATCATGTTCATCTTCAATTATGTTCATCTTTAATTATGTTCATCTTTAATTATGTTCATCTTCAATTATGTTCATCTTCAATTATGTTCATCTTTAATTATGTTCATCTTCAATTATGTTCATCTTCAATTATGTTCATCTTCAATTATGTTCAGGAGAGAGTTCCAAGCACTCACTCCTTAAATGCATCAAAGGTCCTATGTTAGCTGAAATTAATTCACGTTTTTCTTCCGACCTGACAATCGTTTATTTTAAAATGAACACTTGAATGAAACAAAGTCAAAATTTTCAATTTCTGACCAATCAGCTGAGAACATTGGGCGGCGAGACTTCGGCATACCAGCTGCTTTGCATGCATCGCAATATTGAATTAACTTTATGGTTCATTAACATTATTTGAAATGTTATAAACCAAACAGTCCAGCCGGACATTGTGAGCATCTCGAAATCGACCATTTGCGCTTTTATAAATACCTCAACCCTGAATGCCTTGGCTTTCTGAGAACTTTGTAAATCGTTAAATTCATTATGTTCCAATTTGTTCGATGATATTGGAATAAAACAAATTTTCGTAATTTGATGTGGAAGTGAGTCGACCTAATCAACTTTTAATTCACAAACAAATTCAAATGCACCTAACAAACAAAGAAACAAACGAACCAACGAACGAACAAACAAATGAACGAACGAACACACAAACGAACACACAAACGAACACACAAACGAACACACAAACGAACGAGCAAACAAACACAAACAAACCAACAAACAGACAAACAAGCAGCTAACTGCAACAATTTCTCGTCAGTTATGATGAAGGATGTTTAAAAATTTAAAGCAGGCGTGCAGGATATTTCTGCCGTCATTTAGGTTTTTAAGAAGTCTACCATTGCTTGTGTGCGTGCGTGCGTGTATATAGATAGGTACGTGTGTGTGTGTGTGTTTTTTGTGTGTTAATGTTAGTGTTTCCGTATTTCATGTGGTACATCAATGTGTGATTGTTGTTGTGTGTGGTTGTTGTTGTTGTTTATGGTTATGTCCTCTATGTGTGGTATTGTTTATGTTGTTGTTGTTGATTTAACTGATGTTGTTTGTGTTGTTGTTGTTGATTTAATTGATGTTGTTGTGTGTGATTGTTGTTGTTGTTGTGGTGGTGGTTTTCAATGTTCATGTTATGGTTGACGTTGTTTCGGCGTAACATTTCTTGTTCTGAAATCAAAACTGATGTGCGCGTTAATCTTGTTTGTACGTTGTCAATTGTGCTTTGAATATTTTTGCGCATGACGGCGAGATTATGTTGTTGTTGTCGTTGTTGATGTTGTATATGTTGTTGTTTTTGTTGATATTGTTGTTGTTGTTTATATTGTTGTTTTTGTTGATATTTTTGTTGTTGATGTTAAGGTTGTTGATGTTGTGGTTGTTGATGTTGTGGTTGTTGATGTTTTTGTGGTTGTCGTTGTTGCCGTTGTTGTAGTGGATGTGATGTTGCGAACATCATTGCGTGTGATGTTACATCTTGTATAATGGCATTTGTTGGTATGTAATAATTTGAATTTTTTTCAAATTTAAAATACATTTCAAAGTTCCAACAAAGCACACCATCTTCATCACATTTATTTTGTTATTTTGTTGTGTTGATTTCATTGTTTTGAAAGAAAAACGCGATTTATCTTAAGAACTTTTTTATTTCCTAATAAAACTTTTAAAAAATTTTACATTAAAAAGCGCAATTAAGCTGCATTGTTGGCGGAAGATTTATAACTTCTACCCCCTCTCTTTCTTCATATGTCGCTTCTTTCCAAGTAATTTGCGTCCATTATTCTAATTAGGCAACAACAAAAAAATCAACAACGTCGCATGGCACAACGCAACAACACAAACCTGTACAACAACAAAAACACACCCCCATCACCACCACCAACAACAACAATAGCATACGACGACCACCAATCACATAGGCCTACCACCACCACCACCACCAACAACAACAACATTCAACCACCACCAACGACTACAACAAGCGACAAGTGAGAAATTGAACAATCGTCATTTTAATCCTCATTGAAGATTAAAAGATTGCAAGCCATCAAAGATGTTGTCATCTCACATCACGGACAAATTTGTTCTGTGCTTCCCTGACGCCAATGTGCTTGTATGTGAGTGTATGTGTGTGTGTGGTATATATATATGTGTGTGTGTATGTGTGTGCGTTTGCGTGTGTGTGTTTGTTTGGTGTGTGTACGTTTGTTTGTGTGTGTGTTTGTTTGAGCGTGTATTTTTATGTGTAATGTAAGTAAGTATGTGTGGATGTATGTAAGTGAGCGTGTGTGGATGCAGATGGATGTGTGGGAGTGCGTAGGTGTGCGATATATTTGTTTGCTTAGAAGCAAGTTTCATTTTTAAAACATGTTATTTTTATATTATCTATACCTATACATTATTGAGGTCAATTTTTAAATTAAAATTTCGAAAATTCGGTAATGTATTTTTAAAATTATTTCTTTAGCAAGCAACACGATAAAAATTCTATTAAATTAATCTCAATCATAAAAAGTTTAAATAAACATTCACCATCTAGTTATAAAATATCTATCAAGTTTGCTTTTGAATCTACATACGTATGTACCTACCTAGACCTACCTACCTACCTACATCAGGTGTTAGCAAATAATCTTTTACACTAAACGTTTATGGATAAGTAAATTGACAAAGTTGAAATAAAATGTCTGATAAATGTATTTATCCATCATTTGAAATGTTGTTATATTTTCAGTGTCAACAATATGGAAAACAACAACAACAACATTATCGACAGCAGCAACAATACACCATCATTAACAACAACAACATAAACATCCACAAGAACAACAACAACAAACCTGAAATTACTGAACCACTTGATGAGTTGTGCTGTGTTGTTTTTGTTGAAAAGAACATCGGGGAAGTAGGCTTTCAAAATCGAAGAGCTTGGATATCTGGGCATAAATGAGGATTTTTAGTTTTATTTGCAGTAGTCCGTCGGTCAATCAGTCAGTCAGTCAGTCAGCCAGTCAGTCAGTCAGTCTGTCTGTCTGTCAGTCAGTCAGTCAGTCAGTCAGTCAGTCAGTAAATAAGTAAGTAAGTCAGTCAGTTAGTTACCTAACCAGGCAGTCAGTGTCAACCAGCCAGTCAGTAAGTCAGTCAATCAGTCAGCCAGTCAGTCACCTAACCAGCCAGTCAACCAGTCAGACAGTCAGTTACTCAGTCACTCAGTCTTTCAGCCAATCAGTCAGTCAGCCAATCAGTCACCTAACCAGCCAGACATTATATCAGCCATCTATTCAATCAGTCAGCCAATCAGTCAGCCAGCCAGCCAGTCAGTCAGTTAGTCACCTAACCAGCCAGTCAGTCATCTAGCCAGCCCAGCCAGTAAGCCAGCTAGTCAGTCAATCAACCAACCAACAAATCAACTGACCTAACATAGAAGAACATGAGTTTGGCTTTCCTCAGGTGCATGGGGGTGAGTGTGCTGGTGTGGTGACGGAAGGGTCAAGGAAAGTTTCAAAACAATTGTTGTCATGTGATGTGGTAAGGTGTATGTGTGTGATGTTGTGTTTGATTTTTATGTTATATAACATGTTGTTGATTCATTCTTACCACTCATTCATTCATTCAGATTTTCTTCAGCTTGCTAGACGACGTGACCTTGCAAAGCAGCACTTCACAATGAAAACAGACGTAACAATTTACGTGCTGGTTTGTTTTTCCGGAGACTGAACGATAAAATAATTCTAACGTTGTGTTTCTCATACTATGGAGGCGATGATGCTGTTAGTAATGTTACTGATTATGATGACGATGGCGAGGATGGTGACGATGACAATAATGATGGGGATGAGAATGACGATGATACGATGATGACAATGATGATGATGTTGACAAAAAAATAACGACAAAAGTGTGATGAAACAATGCTTAAAACGGTGACGAAAGTTAAATTCAAAACGAAATTTTTTCAGCAAAGATTTTGAAACGAGAATGTTCTTTGGCAACTGAACTAATGATGTATCTAGAATAAAATAAGCCCTTCACATTACGTACTGCACTGTGTATAGAACTAGAACAGTTGCATGATTAAGTCTAGCAGAGCTATTTAGTACATGAATTTTGATGCTAAATGAAGGAATGTCAATAAATCTTAAGAATAATTGAAAAATACAGATAAAAAAGTTAGAGTATGACAGCTGAAACGCTGATGGATGAATATACAAGAGAAAACAAACAAACAAACAAAAAATAAACAATCAGGTTAAATAGAAAGATCTAACATATGTGAATAAAAAATAAACGACAGATTGATGCGTCGTGAAACAGGGCGTGTCTTCGATTATACCTCGAGTAATTATAAATACGAGAGAGCAATTAGGCTGGTGTAATTCGGTGCAATCTCCGTGAGGAGTGTGTAAGATGTTCTGTCAGATGGTTGATAAGACTGAATGTTTCGTTGATGAGATGCTAGAAAATTGTGAACAACAACCACAACAACAACTGTGATATCATGATATGATGCAATGATTATTTACGACACGATGGGAAGAAGGACGCTAATGAGCGAGCGATGTTGTACAGGCAGATATATAACTGCATAGTGTGTCAACTTCTTCATATTGTTTCATTCACGGAATTGCGCTATATCAGTAATTAATTAATGTAATTTTAATTATTTGTTATCTTCGTTATTTTTCCTATATTTGTAATCTTTGGATTTTAAGAATCTTGTGTATAAACGAAGTCAATGGCGAAGTTAGCGGCGAGGTGATTTATGTAGTCATTTGGATTAGTTTTTGGGTTAGTATAGTGCTTCTATTACTGTTGACATTCAGATAAACACTCAAGCAAGTTTGCGTTTGAAGCAGTTATGTTCATCTATCGGAAATTTTGAGCCTATGGAATAACAATAACTGTAAAGATCTTTGAAGTTACAACACTGGTGTCGGTAGTAACGGTTGTTCAAAGTTTATAACAATATATTCAAGGCAAGTTATTTTGAATTGAAGTGAATTAAAATTATATTTATAAAAGGCCAACTACAATACAAAATAAAAAGTTTAATAAAATGAAATATGACAGATAATCTCACAGCAAATGTGCTAAAATTATAAACAAAGTATTTAGTAATTTCTGCAGTATTGAAGTAATAAAGTAACTCCAATTAAAACGTAGTAGAGGCATGATGCAGAAGCAACCCACACATTAATCCAATCCTGTACAGGCGTTTTTTTGCAAGCCATAATTAATGGATGCGTTAGTTTTTAAAAGCTTGTAGATGTTTGGCTGTGTAAATATGCACGCTTATATAAAAGTATGCAAGTAAGTAATAATGATATTCTGCATTTATAATAACTGCTCCATTAATTCCCTGTTTGTGCCTCTCAAGTTTCACGACCTGCCAAAATGATTAATAAACGTTAAGTTGCGAACTTGTTTATGTGTTTGTTGTTTGTTTGTGTGTGTGTTTGTGTGTGCGGCTGCACATTTGGCTGTATATGTTGCTGTTTATGATGTTGTTTGTATTGCATCAAGTTATAAATGCTTTTATTAATTCTCTGAAACACGTTGTGTCATGTTGTGTGTGTGTGTGTGTGTGTACGTGTGTCGCGTGGCGTGGCGTGGTTTGGTGTGGAAAGATGGTGACGAGTGATAAGGCTGGCGACAGCAACAAAATCAAAACTCAGCCACTGACGCCGCAAATGAAGATGAAGTAGCTTCAGGAAGCAGTGATGAAATGCTCAATACAGAAATTGTAAAATAATTTTAAAGCAAGCAGGTGTGCCTACAAATCTTTTTTGCCAGCTTATTAACACATATTTTTAAAACAGTTAATTCATCATTTTCTTCAATTATATTCAACAAATTAAAGTATAAATTGAACTTTTGAAGTCAGATGTTATCTTACTTTATAAATTTGCATTCACCCAACAATTTTCACATTTATTTGATTTTTTATACATTTTGAAGTTCACTCAGCTGCTTTTTATACGTGCACAAGCTCTCTAACATAGACACGTACATTGAGGCACACGCATAGACGCACGCATGAACCTAAAGATATACGCCTGCGTAAACAAACAAACAACAACAACAACAACAAGGACAACACATGTAGAAATGGAACGGTGCCAGGCACTGTCAGTGAACGATTGAGTAACTTTTGTCGTCTTTGTCAGTGAGTGATGATGTTGAAACGATCGTGCTTATTGATTTCATCTCATTCATGCAGTCCTTACATTCATTCTCCATTCGACTCTTCATTCATCCATTCAGCCGTCCATTCTTCTCCTTATTCTTCGGCTGTCTTGTCTTCGTGAAGACAATCATCTTTCAAGCACAAAATCGATGCCATCCACCAAATGAGACGAAGAACGTTATTAATTCTTCCTCGATACAATTGTTTTTCCCGCGTGCTTCCGTAAGTTAATGCGCCTGTCTGCACAGCACATACCTGCAAAAGTGTGCGCATGTTTGGGTCCGTGTGCCCGGGTATCTATCTACGTTTGTCTGCGTCCGTACCTGAATGTTTGTATTGTGTGTGTGTATATATATATATATATATATATATATATATAAACAAATATATATATATAAACAAATATATATATGCATGCCCGTGTGTTTAAATGTTTTGTATTTTAATTGTGTGTACATGCTAATTTTTTTGGAATATCTATGCATGGGTGTTTTCTAAGTGAGGTTGTGTATGTGTTTGTGTTTGTGTGTTCTGTTGGGAGTGTGTTGTGTGTTTGTTATATTGGCAAATGAATTGCTCAAAATTTTGAAACTTAGTTGCTATCGTGATCTAATTCAAACGTAAACATAAAAATCACCACTATTATCATTCATCAACCTCTTCCTCCTCTTAATCATAATTATCATCCCCATCTTCCTCCTCATCATCAATGGTATTGTTGCAGTTAGAGCCCCGGAGCCCCGTCATCACCCCCTTTTTGTTGCCACCACCACCACCACCACCACCACCATGCATCACCTCATCGTTCGTCGTCATCACCTGGAAGCCTTCAACGTCATCATCCACTTTGTCATCCTTATCATCATAATCATCATTAACATCATCGTTACAATCATTGTCATCTTTGTGTCATCACAGAC